GTCCTGATTTGTTTTCTCTGATTAAAGAATTGAAAATCTCAGTGTTTATGGGCCCATATCATGCATTCCAATTCTGTGAAGGACCTGTTTAAGCCCTTTATTAATTTTTTGCTAGTTTTCTTGATATGTAAATTTCTGTACATGGCCTTGACACTAATTTTTGCAAATGGTTTGTAGTTTGGCTTCCTTTTATAAGCTGTTTAAAGGACAAATGTTTTAAAAATTTCATAAAATAGCACAACTTATTTTCTTTTATGCTTAGTTACCTTTTATGGTTTCATTGCTTCTATTTTCAAAGAAAGAAAGATCCAGGCCTCCCTGGTGGCACAGGGGCTAAGACAGACTATCCCCAGCCACTGCGGCTTGAGTCTGATCCTTGCACAGGGAGCTGACCCACATGGTGCCGAAGACCTCTCCTGTCTCGCCCGCTGCTCCCCTCAGCAGTGTGTTTCAGTAGATCTGCCTGTTCTGCTCCCCACTGTCTCTGGTGAATCCTCTCACCCCACCCCCACACACTGCTGGCTTGTACCCCAGTTCTTGGATGCAGAAACAAATCTTTAAAAAATAAAAAAATCTCGAAGATACCTACATTTTCATGTTTCAAATATATTTTTAACTATATTCTCTACATTAAAAGTTCTAAAGTTTCAGGGCATTGAAACAAAGTTGTTGCCCCGCTCCCTGCCTGCCATCCTAGTTGCTGACTTGGAGCGACAGAACATTCTGGAGCCCTCACAGATAAGAGTGGTCTCATCTCTTCTATAGCAATCTGCAGCATACACAAGACTGAGAGTTAATCCACTTACATCTGGTCTTAGCCTTTTCTGACCATGATGCTTGTTACTCTGTTTATTATTGTGACTAGTTCATTTAATTCTGAATGTATTAGCCTACATGAATATTTCCTTTGATACCCATAAACCAATAAATTAGTTGAGAAAATAAATTTTAGTATAAATATACTCATCATATTAGCTGTGTTAACAATAGTAGAAAATAAATTTGAATACATTTTTATTCAATATGATTCACTATCCTGTGACTGTTACTTAACGATATAAAATGTCTACTATGTAATCTAGTGATTCAGCTTTGGTGCAAATTAATCGGTTTAACAAAATAAACTTCTAAAAATTTAAGGGATGTTTTTTAGTTATTACTAATCATAGCTATTTTTGAATGAGGTTAAATGTTAGTATTTTAACATATGTCCCTACGGCAGTCCATAATATCCTTATTATTAAACTAGTTGCATGTTAATAAAATTACATTCTTAAAAACCTACCTTCTCTGCACAAAGATACCTATGATGTTCAAGCCACTGACTCTTGCCCCTTGTCTTCTATGTTCTTGTAGAATCAGCACTTATCATTTTAATACACACACTAGTGAAGAAAACAATGAAAAGTTTTATGTATAGTATGAGTAATGAATCTGATTTTTAATTTTCCTTTGTTTTGTTGGCTCCATTTTTTTACTCTATGTTTACTGGATGGATACATGAATGAATAAGTGATTCATAGAACACAGATTCTCAGAAAAGATACAAGCTGCAGAAAGACAGTAGGTGTCAACACAGAAGAACAGAACATAGGTATTCTAAAAGGCCGTAATTTGAAGATCAAGGTTCATGGTAAATATCCTGTAAATAGTTTTCACAACATATTTTAATTAATAATCATTTCTATGACTGACCCATCATGCCAATAGAATGCCTCTGTCAATATAAAACATACACTATACATGGGTCTAGCTCTGGGGCTCTCATTTATTCCACAGGCAATTGTGGCTATTTCTGCACTAATATCACATTCTCTTAAATACTTCACCCTGAAAAAAGTCCCTCTGTTAGAATTTAATAACCCATGTTTTTAAGGTGTTGTAAAGCCACCAATGACTAGAGATCTCCTTGTGAAAAAAGCTCTAACTACTTCATTAGTAGAACTGCCCAGGCTTCTGATTCTGCCTTCATCAAAAACTTTTTCTAAGAATTTTTTGATTTCGCCTCAAGTTTCAAAGCTACTGGCATGCTGTTTCTAATGTTCATCTGTCTATAGATACCTGCAGTGTCTATAGGGACCTACCAATTTATCATTCCCAACACGTTTTTTTGTGCATTTTCTCTTTTCTCCATGATAAACTTGCCAAAAAACTGTCCATTTTGTGAAATTTTTCTAAATTATTGGTTTTATTGATCTTCTATTTCATTCTTGTTTTCTATTTCTGCTTTTATCATCTTCCTTTATTTTGTTGTTCTGTAACTTCATATTTAGATAATTTGCTCATTTTTAAGATAAAGATTTATGGTCATAAAATTCTTCAAACAACACTATTCTTTTCATCTTAGAAGTTACTAGTCAAACATGGAGCTTTCCTATGACCCAGCAATCCCACTCCTAGGTATCTACCCACTGATTGAAAAAGATACCTGCACCCCCATGTTTATTGCTGCTTTATTTACAATTGGAAAAACATGGAAGCAGCCCAAATGCCCACAAGTAG